CTATGCCCATCTTAAAGTTTTTTATTAGCACACTGTAGTGGCATTTCATTTGTAATAAAGCTTGCCTGAGGATCAGAAAAGTAAAACAGCTGCACTGGCCAGCCTTATAGATCAGGCAGCAATGACACACACCTTTAATCCCAGTAGCCACAATATTTTGCCATAGAAACCAGGCGGTAGTGGTGCACACTCTTAATCCTAGAACTAGAGAGGATTATAAAACAGAAGGAGACAGTTCTCAGTCTCAGTCTCATTCTGAGGTTTCCTGGAGACAGGATCACCATTTTCAGACTGAGGTCGAGGTAAGAGCCAGTGGTTGGCTGCTTTGCCTTTCTAGTCTTCAGGTTGAACCCCAATATCTGTCTCTTGAGATTTTATTAATTGGGCCACAGCACACATTAATTAGATATAGTGGAGTTTCTTTATGACACTTTAATATTTTTATAGTGTATTTTGATCACATTCACCCCACATCAACATCTCTTATTCCTCTTTCTACACCCACTGATCTCCTTCCTTTTCTCAGCTAATCAGGGTCACCTTCTTCTGATGACTTGTCATAATGGATTAGGGGCTCACCCTATCCCAGTGTGATTCCATCTTAATTTCATCTGTATCAACTGTATCTCCAAGTCATTTTTTTAAAAAAGTAGTTTATTTTAATTCATAATTAGCACTTAGGCTATCACACTTTCATGTTAGTAGCTGAACAAGAATAATTCTGCCTGGAAAAAAAAACTTCCTTTCTATGGAAAAAAGCTCAAGTGGGTGGTTTCTAGTGCTCCGTGATGGGTTTAGGAGAGCATAAGGACAGAACTGAGGTCAAGAACCCTTCATTCCCATGAGGGTGTGTGTGGGGACTGGGATTCAGAGGTTAGAGAGGGTGAGTCCCATGGGGAGATAGATAGGATAGAGAAAGCTTCTGAGGCAGAGGAAGCGATGCACACCACCATCCAAGCTGCACATCGCTAATTCCTCAGGCTTATTCTTCAGTCTCCATGACTTGGCTGAGGAAGATAGTGAGGCCAGGATCCCTGCGACCGAGGGAAGGCTCGTGATTGTCAGCTGTTACCAGCGGTCGGGCCAGTTCTACTGGGTGCTTTGGATTTGTATTTAAAATGTGTATGAATTTGTTTTTTATTCTTTTTTAAAATTGTTTTTATTGAGCTATATTTTTTTTCTCTGCTCCCCTCCCTTCCTCTCCCCTCTCCTTCTACCCTTTCCCATGGTCCCCATGCTCCCAATTTACTCAGGAGATCTTGACTTTTTCTACTTCCCATGTAGATTAGATCCATGTATGTCTCTCTTAGGGACATTGTTGTCTAGGTTGTTCTAAGAGACATTAGGGTCTCTTAGGGACCTCATTGTTGTCTAGGTTCTCTGGGATTGTGAATTGTAGGCTGGTTTCCTTTGCTTTATGTCTAAAAGCCACTTATGAGTGAGTACATATTATTTTCATCTTTCTGGGTCTAGGTTACCTCACTCAATATAATGTTTTCTAGATCCATCCATTTGCCCGCAAGTTTCAAGATGTCGTTATTTTTCTGTGTAATTTTACTCCATGTACCACATTTTCCTTATTCATTCTTTGGTCGAGGGGCATTTAGGTTGTTTCCAGGTTCTGGCTATGACAAACAATGCTGCTGTGAACATAGTTGAGCACATGTCCTTGTGGTACAACTGAACATTCTTTGGGTATATACCCAAAATTGGTATTGCTGGGTCTTGAGGAAGATTGTTTCCTAATTTTCTGAGAAATTGCCATACTGATATCCAAAAAGGATGTACCAGCTTGCACTCCCACCAGCAATGCAGAAATGTTCCTTTTACCCCACATCCTTTCCAGAATAAACTGTCATCAGTGTTTTTGATCTTGGCCATTCTTACAGGTGTAAGGTGGAATCTCAGAGTTGTTTTGATTTGCATTTCTATAATGGCTAAGGATGGTGAGCATTTCCTTACGTGTCTTATTGTTTCAAAACTCTTTTTTGAGGCAGTATCTCAGTATGTAGCCCTGGTCATCCTGGAACTCTCTTTGTGGAGCAGGTTGGCCTTGAACTCATAGCTGCCTACCCCAGCTTCCTGAGTGCCACGGTTAAAGGTGTGCATCATCATTCCCAGCCCAAATTTTGCCTTATGAGCCTACAAAATTTCAGTATTTTGAAAGAAGGTTTGTACTTTATATCTAGCACTTAGGACCATCTGTATCATAGTGATGTATGGAAAAGCATGAACTCTTGTAACTAAGCAAACTTGTGTATGACTATCAAATGTTATAGGTTCGATAAAGCAGTGTCTGCCAGTACAGACCTGGGATGTCGCCATTGCCCAGGTTGTGTTGGTTTCTTCAACTCTTCCATGACGTGTGTCCTCAGTTGGAGTGAAGCCCTCCCATATTGTGATGACATGATGCTCTACCTTACTCCACTGCTCTTCTCTCTTTCTTAGTGGCTGCATGTCTCTTTTAGAACCTTACCATCCTTTCCTTTAAAGCTCAGAGGTGCCTACAATGTGATTTTAATGCATTTCTATTGACTTGAATTGCTTGAGTCATGGTTGTATGAATAGAATAATTATATTGTATTGTGTAACACAAGTAGGAGCAAAGTGTAGTTCTCAATTTTTAGAAAATGAAATTAAAAATTGGTTTAGTTATAAAAATTCCCTAGAATCAAAATTTTATTATTATTTTTGTTTGTGTAACTCTTGGCACATGATTAGGAAACTAAATTGCCACATGCTTCTAGTATAAAAAGATGAATACTAATAAGATTAAAAATAATAGGAAATATAATATTCATTTTTTTGTCCTTGGATTTCAGGTCCTTTTTTTTTTTTTTAATCAGAATAGATTTTAGTAGCTACAACCCCAGACAGAAAGATTTCAAATGAGATTTGATTTCTGCTTCCTGGACATGTTTCCTGGGAATGAATAACAAAACTGCTGTAAACAACTGTGTCCTCTGAACAAAATGTTGTGAACTATTCTAGGAAATTTCTTCCAGGAAAGCTAAATGCAATTCAGTGGTGAGAAGAAATCCTTGCAATTCACATCATGAGTAGTTCATTTTCAACCATGTTCTGGATGAATTATTTATTAGAAGTTAATGTTTATAAAGCATTTTGATAATTTAATTAGCCCCTAAAACAATACTATAAGGGGATCATAATTAACATTTAAAACATTAACTTTTGATAATTACTTTATACTTTATTTTTATTATTTGTATTCATGCTCTCCCTGAAAAAAACAGGAAATAACAGTTGATTACATGAAATTAGAATATGATAATACTATATATAAGCTTAGTGTGCATTGGATGATTAATAAATTTTTGTATCACTCCAGAGGTAAAACATTTAGTTCTCATTTCTTAGTTTTTCAAAGCCAGACAATTTTTTTTTTTTCAAGACAGGGTTTCTCTGTGGTTTTGGAGCCTGTCCTGGAACTAGCTCTTGTAGACCAGGCTGGTCTCGAACTCACAGAGATCCGCCTGCCTCTGCCTCCCGAGTGCTGGGATGAAAGGCGTGTGCCACCACCGCCCGGCTAAAGCCAGACAATTTAAGTGGCAGCATGGGTTAGTGAAGTTGGATATGTTGGGCTTGGATCCCAATTTTATATTGAGATTAATGACTGCAGTTTAGCGAACTCCTCCTTTCCTCCCTCCAGCTGCAACCACTAGCATGGGTTAGAAGTTTGTGGTCTTGGGTAAACAAAAGAGCACATTCCTGAATCTTATTTCTCTTCTACGGGAAAGCTGTGAAAATTGGAGATGATAAAAGTGCTTAATACAGTGAATGGCAGATGGTGGTCCTTTAATAAGTTGTAGCTATTAAACATTATTTTTATGAGAGGAAACATTCTTCTAATCCCTTCAAATGTTGGAAAGAATGGGAGGGAGAAAGAGCAGAGAAGGCCTGACCACTTGTTCACTGAGCAACTCCTAGGCCTCAGGCCTTGTGTGAATTTAGCCTCACAACACTTGCTGTTTCTTACACAGAAAAGTAGACATCCTCTCTCAGGCGCATTGAACCAAGCAGTAACTGACAAACCAGGATTTGAACTCGCTCCAGTTCTCGTGGACGCCACACTCCATGCGTTTGTTATTTCAGACACCTGCCAAAGCTCTTCAAAGAGCTAGGGGACAGGTGGGAGGGAGGGCTGACAATCAATCTTCATTTCACAAATGAAGAATCAGTATCAGCTATTGTGAAGAAGACAGTTTCTGTTACTACAGGAAAGTTTATGCTGTGGTAGAAAAGGCATGTGAGGGCCAGGGAGCTAATCCAGTCTTCGGACATCCTTCATCAAAATAAGCTTACACATGGCACTTTGCAAAAGCGTGATTAAATGGTAAAGGTGTCATGGGAGAGTTACAGTGAGCCTTACAAACGGATAAACTTTCTAATATCACAGTTAATGTAAATGAAATATTTGTGGTTTTGGTTATATTAACTAAAAATGGGCATTACACTTCAAACTTAGAATGCTACATAAGCAGAATCAATGTTCTATGGTTTTACAGAGATTAAGAATATTTTATGATCTTCATTTTCTTTAGGTCTTATCACTTAATGTTTAATTCTGTATCTATGATCAGGAGTAAACTAGGAAAATTCTGTTCTTGTCTTCACAGAATCTTAATCCTTGTCGGAACAAATTTCACATATATATCTACGGAAGTTAAAAAGTGTGATTGACTTGAGGCAAAATTAACAATAAAAAAAAAGCCCACGTATCTGGACTTGATTTCAAAATACAAAAACTCTGCTCAGCTCCATCCATGAACTTGCGCCATTCTTTGTGCCTGCCTCCCGGAACGTGATGTGTAGATGCCACATTTGCTGCAGTGTGAGTTTATATTCACTACTGTAATAAGATGCAGAGCTGTCATTTCTCAAATAAGCTACTGTGTTTAAAAGACTAGCTGAATAATTGCTGAAAACTTTCTCGAGAAGCAATCTGAGTTTTGTAAACAGGACTAACTGCAGTGATCTAAGGGAACGGATAGAAACAGGACTACTGCAGTCATCTAAGGGAATGGACAGAACGTGACAGAGGGTTATTAATCAGAGGGAGCAAGGATGCTGACTTGCAGAAAAAGATGCAATGCTAAGACCATTCCATACTTCTTGGAAATAGCTCTAACTTGGCTCAGTTTCTCTGCTCTAACACATATAAGCTTCATTTTAAAAACAGCAATTTATTAACTGAAGAAATTTACAAGTCGTTCCATAAGAGAGAATTAATACAAATTTTAAATGTAGACTTTATAAAGAACATAGATTTCTATTAAGTATGATTTTTTTCTAGGGAGGAAAATATACTTCTTGGCTCTGTTACATATTTATTTTTAGTTGTGTTATATATATATATACATATATGAATAGAAAGTCAATAATAATTGCTTAAAGAATGTAGCTCTTATTTTAAAACTTTCACATACAGTCAGATGTAGTAGCTTATGCCTATAATCCTAGTATTAAGGAGACTGAGGCAGGAGGATTACTGTGAGTTCCAGGGACTCTTGGGCTTCAGAGAAAGACTGTGTCTCACTCCTCCCACTAAAAAACAAAAACAAAAATCCAACCTTCCCCTCCCCCCGCAAAAAACCCCAATTACACAATGCATGAAAGGCTAACATGGTGTGTTTTTTAAAGACTGCTTTAATATCACTTTAAAAAGTGCATTTAAAGGATGCAATGTGATATTTTAATGTTGAGGAAAATATGAGCATATAATAAATGATATAATTTAAGATTTCATAAGTTACACATATACTAGGGATAGTTTTCAGCATATGATTGAAATACATTTTGTTAATAAAAACCACATGATCATCTCATTAGATGCTGAAAAAGCCTTCAACAAAATATAACGTTCCTTCATGATAAAAGTCTTGGAGAGAGCAGGGATACAAAGGAACATACCTAAACATAATAAAGGCCATATACAGCAAGCCATCAGCCAACATCAAACTAAACAGAGAGAAACTCACAGTGATCCCACTGAAATCAGAAACAAGATGAGGTTGTCTACTCTCTTCGTATCTATTTAATATAGTTCTTGAGGTTCTAGCTAGAGCAATAAGACAACAAAAGAAGATCAAGGGGAAACAAATCATAAAAGAAGTCAAACTCTCACTATTTGCTGATGATATGATAGTTTACATAAGCGATCCCAAAAATTCTGCCAAGGAACTTCTACAACTCATAAACACTTTCAGTAATGTAGCAGGATACAAGATTAACTCAAAAAAATGCAGATGATAAAATGGCTGAGAAAGAAATCAGAGAAACATCACCCTTCACAATATCTTGGAGTAACGCTAACCAAACAAGTGGAAGACCTGTATGACAAGAATTTTAAATCGTTGAAGAAAGAAATTGAAGAGGACACCAGAAAATGGAAAGATCTCCCATGCTCTTGGTTAGGTAGAATTAACATAGTAAAAATGGCTATCTTATTAAAAGCAATCTACAGATTCAATGCAACGCCCATCAAAATTCCAGCAAAATTCTTCATAGACCTTAAAAGGACAGTACTCAACTTCAAATGGAAAAGCAAACTCAGGATAGCCAAAACAATCCTGTCCAATAAAGGAATTTCTGGAGGCATCACAATCTTCAACTTCAAACTCTACTACAGAGCGACAGTACTGAAAACAGCCTGGGACTGGCATAAAAACAGACAGGAGGAGCAATGGAACTGAAGACCCAGATATCAATCCACACACCTATGAACACCTGATTGTTGACAAAGAAGCAAAAAATATAAAATGGAAAAAGAAAGCATATTCAACAAATGGTGCTGGCATAACTGGATATCAACATGTAGAAGAATGAAAATAGATCCATATCTATCACCATGCACAAAACTCAAATCCAAATGGATCAAAGACCCCAACATAAAGCCAGCCACACTGAACCTTATAGAAGAGAAAGTGGGAAGTACACTTGAACACACTGGCACAGGAGACCACTTCCTAAATATAATCCCAGTAGCACAGACACTGAGAGAAACAAGTAATAATGGGATCTGCTGAAACTGAAAAGCTTCTATAAAACAAAGGACATGGTTAACAAGACAAAATGGAAGCCTAAAGAGTGGGAAAAGATTTTCACCAACCCACATCAGAGGTCTGATCTCCAAAATATACAAAGAACTCAAGAAATTGGTCCTCAAAAGAACAAATAACCCAATAAAAAATGGAGTACAGACCTAAACAGAGAACTTTCAACAGCGGAATCTAAAATGGCTGAAAGACACTTAAGAAAATGCTTAACATCCTTAGCCATCATAGAAATGCAAATCAAAAACAACTCTGAGATTCCATCTTACACCTGTCAGAATGGCCAAGATCTAAAACACTGATGAGGACTTCTGCTGGAGAGGTTGTGGGCTAAAGGGAACACTCCTGCATTGCTGGTGGGGGTGCAAACTGGTACAGCTCCTTTGGATATCAGTATGACGATTTCTCAGAAAATTAGGAAACAAATCTTCCTCAAGATGCAGCAATACCAGTTTTGGGTATGTACTCAAAGGATGCTCAATTGTACCACAAGGACATGTGCTTAACTGTGTTCATAGCAACTTTGTTTGTCACAGCCAGAATCTGGATACAACCTAAATGCCCCTTGGCCGAAGAATGGATAAGAAAAATGTGGTACATTTACACAAAGAAGTACTATACAGCAGAAAAAAAATGACATCTTGAAATTTGCAGGCAAATGGTTGAATCTAGAAAACATCATATTGAGTAAGGTAACCCAGACCCAGAGAGACAAGTATCATAGGTACTCGCTCATAAGTGGCTTTTAGACATAAAGCAAAGAAAACTAGCCTACAGTTCACAAGTACAAGTGGTCTGAATGACCATAGTACACTTTGCACTGGGGGTAATTATGGTAAGTAGATGTGGGGAGGTGTGGTAGGTGGCAGAGCTGTACATTTAGACTATTCTTAGATCAGCTCCGGGAGTACACTAGATTATCATTATCTGCAGTAGTGATTGATGTTCCGGAAAGTCATTGCCAACAACGAATAGTGCCTATCAAGTCATTGCTCTTAGGTTCCTGACAGCCTTTTGTTACAGAATTTCATCATTGGAACTACAGGTAGCCTTGTTTTATGTGTGTTTCTGTTTCAAAATATGCTGTGGACTTCATAGAACGCATAACTAATAGCATGCTAACTCAAGCCTGAGTGAGGCTCGTTTGATTTATGCATTTTCTCCATAAGTTGCATCATGTATTTTTACACTTAGTGACATTAGGGCACACTTTAGTACATGGAGGCTATTTAAAATAGCCAACTTTCTATACAGGAGCACACAGACACACACTAAAAGGATTCTTGTTACAATATGAAACGTGAAGGTAGAGGATCATAGTGTTCTCAGCAAATTTGTGTGCTTGACAACTCAAAAATTTCAATTGCTTTGTGAGTGCATGTCTACAAATGATTCATTCATTAAAAGCACCCCTTTTGCATCATTTTACATTCAGTAGCTTTATTTATATGTTGTAAGTAGATGGTTAATGTGAGTCCTTACCTAATGGTTTAAAATGTTTTTATGTTGTTCTGGTGAAGCACATGGGAGAAGGCAAAATGTACTGATCTTTGAAAAAAGGGAAAGAGATGCATTTGAAGGGAAACACTAGATAATTCTAAAGCAGTATTTTTGTTTTGTTTTGTTTTTTCAAGACAGGGTTTCTCTGTGTAGTCCTGGCTGTTCTGGAACTTGCTCCATAGATCAGTCTGGCCTTGAACTCAGAGATCCACCTGCCTTTGCCTTCCAAGTGGTTGGATTAAAGGTGTGCGCCATCACTGCCCAGCTAGGTGGGGGCAAAGGCATTCAGATATCGACCCCAAAACTCATGTACTAGTCTTTCATAATTTGCTTGCAAAATGGTGGGCACACAATGCAATCTGCTTTTATGATTGTTCCAGTTATATGATGGGGTGAAATCGGACTATCAAATTTAGCTAGATATATTTTGTTGTTGAGAAGGAATCCGGCAATCCTATTGTCTTCTTTTAATGGTAGAAAAAGAATTTCATAAATATTATTTTACATTAGGCCAAGTAACACTCCTGACAGGACCATTTAGACTTGTCTAGGAAGCCCATTCTTATCACTCTGACACAGCAGAGGATGCTCTTCTATCGGGATGTCTCCACAGCAGCTCTAAGGATACTGTTATCTTTCTTTGGCTCTTTGAAGCTGACATACTGATTCTAAGTGTCCCGTTACTACTCTGGAAGTATAGGATAATAGATAGCAATGCTGAAAAGCTTCCCCTTTCATACCACAGGGTCTAGAAACACTTTTGTGAGGATTCTAAGGTTCTAAGAATGACATCATGACCTGACTTGCTTTTGCTTTAAGCAGGAACCATGTAACAAACTTCTGGGGAGGAACTCTTCTATGGTCAGCATTCGTTGTATAGGATGTGTGGCAGAATGACGGAAAGCCTATTCCAAGGGAAGAACCTGTCTGGGATGTTGTCCTACAGATGGCACATTTTCCTCTTAAAAACATTTAGTTTACATTCTCTTGTGTTAGAATTGCTTCTAGATTCACATTACCAATGCACCTTCTATGTATGTACCTAAAATATTGTTCTGATCTCTTCTTCACTCTCGTAGCAAATACATTATTTATAATTCTTTTCATAAAGAGATAATCAGCTAAAGAGCTTTCTTAAGGTGGCAAAACTAGAAAGCAAATTAGTTTTATGATTTTAGAGAATTAGCTGACTATTCATTTATTAAAATGTTTTCAGACTACTTAGAACTCTCAAAGGAAAAATAATGGTCCAATACAGTGCTATAAGGTTTCCTTTATGGACACAGTAAGCCATTCAATCTTGACATGCCCAAGTGGTTTTGAGTTCCTGCCATTGATATCCATCACCGAAATAGTAGTTGTGATTAATAGCGTTTTGCCTACTAACAGAAAGCATTTATAATGTATCCCTGGAAAATATTCCAAAATGGAGAGTAGCATTAGAGTTTAAAACCTGGGTCACTGAAAAATCAATATCTGTTGGGAAAGAAGGCGGCAAAACTACTTTAGGAAAAATGGAAAAGAAATTTCCAGGGTTCCATCTAAGAAAATGGTTGAATATAGCTTCAAAAGAATTGATAAGGAATGTTTTTCACCTCTTTAATATGAAACACACCTGGGATATACTTATGTGTATGTTTACAATATGGAAAAAATTAAATAGGTAACATAGGAAAAAAAACCCATGTCTTCTTCCATTCATTTTCTACATCAAGCTACATATTATTGATGGTGATATCAACAAAGCAGGGAGGGTATTTATTGTAAGATTCAGAGAAGCAGTAGTATCCCAAACTAGATTTGTTTTAATATTTAATGGAGTTACATTCTCTCCCCTCATATTCAGGCCCATGAGACAAAAGCAAAATTGACAAGACAGGAGATGTGCTTATGCATTTTGACGTATTCTTGCAAAAGACCATGAGTCGAGCAAAGTTCCCAGATGAGTCTATGAGGAAGGAACTGACTTTATCCCCGCCCCGCTGTCAGCACAGCTGAGGTTCTGTCGCGAGCATGGGACCCTGGGCTTAATCTCCTGGACCCAACAACAATAGGAAAAAATGCCAACAAAAATATTACTGTATAAGCAATCATTCAGCCATTAATTAGAATAATTACATAGATTGTATGTTCATGGGCTAATGAATAAATATCTGAATTTCAGTGTCCTGAAAGATATTGAGTTAAGCAAATGAGACATGACTTCTACTTTTTATAAGGGACGGTTATTGGTAAATAAACTATGGTCGGGTATTTTATATAGGTTACATAAAATATATGAGGTGGATATTTAAAAAAAAATTTCTTCTTTACTGTGTGAGGAAGCTGTTCAAGAGTTCACGTGCGCGGCTTGGTCACATTAGCAGTCAGTGGCAGAGCTGTGCCACTCCAGGGGTTCTCTCGAGTCAGCTGATTACAGTGCCTACAATCTAGCAGGACAGAGACGCATGGGCGATGGCCTTTACACTGCCCTCTGGGAGGCCACCTCGGACTGCATGGAAGCATGGGAAGGTGCTGGTCACTCCGTTTCTAGGTAGCCTCTGGGAAAGCTTTCTCAAGCTGTCCTGGGAGCCAGGCCTTGAAGGCAGATGCGGAAGGGATTTTAGTGACAAGAAGTGTATACAGTCTGAAGATACAATTTTCAAACTCAGTGTTTTGGGAATGTTTCTTCATTTCTAAATTTCTTAATTTTGACCTTCAGTGGGATTTGTTGTTGTTGTTGTTTTTGAGACAAGGTTTCACTATGTAGCTGGAGTTTGCTATGTAGACAAGGCTGGTTTTGAATTTCCATTGATCTGTCTGCCTCTGCTTCCCAAGTTCAAGAATTAAGGGCATGTACCACCACACCTGGTGTTTTTGTTTTTTGCATCTTTGCTTTTTGAGTTAGGATCTTCTATATAGCCCAGAATTATTGACCATAACTCATGAGTTTCCTTTCTCCACCTCCTGCTGTGACCCACACAGATGACTCCTGGAAACAAAACTGGGGTTACAAGAGAATGAAGAAAGGATAGACACACAGACACACATACAGAAATGCTGGGATAAGATGGGTTATGCACTCTAGTGGAGATGCAACAGTCAGGAAACTCAGCCTGCTTATTTTATACAGCTGAAGAGGAGGCAAGGTTATCCTGAACAAGGAGCAAGGTTTAGTTAACCTTGTGTAGGAGAAGAAGTCTTGGGCTGTAAACACCCAGGAGGAGGAATCCATGAGTCACATTTTATGAACACCATGCAAACAAGGACTAGGGGAAGGCTTTGCCATTCCCATGGGTCTGAGGCATTGAGGTTTTTGACATGTCTGCACCCATATCAAACAAATCACTAGGGACTTCATCTGCTCCCCATAACCTCCTAAATGGTGAGATTAGAAGGGTATGCTACTATGCCCAGTTTAATATGTCCTTGTGCTATCATATACATATAACAATACATCACAGTCATTGACTACATCTAACATAGTACATGTACCAAGCTGACTCTCAATAAGTATGTGTTGAACTGAATAGTTAATTGAAAGAAGGATGCAAGACATGGAAGCCTGTTCTAAGATTAGTTATATGTGGTTTATAATATTACAATCCCCTGTCATTCACATCATTCTTACTTTTTGACAAAAGCTCATAAAATTGACTATTAAATTTGCCTTTAACCTTTATTTCTAATCCATTCCTAAAATGAAGTACAATGAAAATTAAATTGCAAAAGTACCAAAGCAGTTGAACTTGCCTTGGAAATCACTATGTAGCCAAGGCTGGCCTGAAATTCATGAGGCTCCTTTTGCCTTAGTTTCCTAACAGTTGGGATTATAGGGGTGAATCACCATTACTGGCTCAAAGGGGTGTGTGTGTGTGTGTGTGTGTGTGTGTGTGTGTGTGTGTGTGTGAGAGAGAGAGAGAGAGAGAGAGAGAGAGAGAGAGAGAGAGAGAGAGA